TGTGGAACTGGGGATTCCCCAGGGAACAAGAGACCAAGTGCACTTGCCAGTAGTGCTCTCTGCCTTTATTCTATCCAGCCCCCTGGCTGGGGGAGGCGTGGCTGAAGGTATTAGCCGATTCCATTGGCTGAGTTCAGTCTCACCTGTATGATGCTACAGGCCCAGGTGTCTAGGCTTTTTCCCCCTAGGGGGCTTAGTTTACACTGCCTGGTTCTGGATTCCCCCAACAGTATCCAAATGGCTGCTTGATGTCTTTCCAACCCCATTATGTGGCCCTTTGCAGGCACCTCGCCTCCCCTCCCCACCCCATCCCACTTTCATCCCTAGTCTAGCTGCCTAGCAACAAGGTAAAATACATATGATGGGGCGTGGTTCCTGGATATTTTTCGGGAATGGTACTAGTTTCCATATATCAAATGTACTATTGCTGTGTAATGATGGTAGTGGTTAGGTGCCGGCAAGTTGGTTCCGACCCATAGAGACCCTATGTGCCATGAAACAAAGCACTGCCCAGTCCGGTGCCATCCTCCCAATTGTCGTTATGCTTGAGCCCATCATTACAGCCAATGTGTCCATTCATCTTGTCTGAGGTCTTCCTTTCGTTTTCTGCCTCTCTCCTTCACCGAGTACGCTGTCTTTCTCCAGGGATTGGTCTCCCTGGACCGCATGTGCAAGCCTGTGAGATGGAAGTCTTGTCAGCCTTGCCTCTAAGGAGCATTTTGGCTGTACTTCTCCAAAGAGAGATAATTTTGTTCTTTTGACAGTACACTGTACTTTCAATATTCTTCGCTAGCACCATAATGGAAATACATCGGTTCTTCTTCAGTCTTCCACATTCAATGTCCAACTTGTGTAGGGTCCAGCTCCACAGTCCAATGGTCCTGAGGAGCGATAGGCACAATTAAAGACGCTAAAGAACACAGACAGCCGAGCTCATGAGCTTGCTTCTCAGGAGAAGCAAGAAGAGGAAGAAGAGCCCAGAGTTTATTCAACAATAAGTTTTTATAGTTCTTGAGGCATGCGAGCCTCGATTTACATATACACATCAAACAAGTGGGCAATGGACTAATCTTGGATATTCCAAGCCTTCAAGGGGAACACTTCAAAGAGAGCACAAGGCATGCAAGTGACAAGAAGTACAAAAAAAACCCAAAACAAACACTCCTAGGCACAGAACAGTTTCCAAAAATCCCTTGTACTGTGATCTGTGTACTAGTCAATAATTTATTTATTTTTTCACTACACACGCACACACACACAAGAATGAGGAGCAAAGGGAGCTAATGCTGTCAGAGGAAAGCATCCTTTAATTGTGTGCATGAGAAGCAAGGTGTGTGTAGGACACAGCATTAGATTATCCTGTACGGGAGGGAAGAAATTTTGTGGGGGAACATTCTTCCTGGAATATGTGCACTGAGGCACTTTCCATTCGGACTGTGGAGATGTGCCTCTCATAGGGATGGCAAGCCCTGGGTTTCATGAGCACTAGGAGCAGGCCATAGACACTTCCTTCCAGGTCCTCATGACCCTACAAACTTTCACTTGCAAATCAGGTGATTGAAAATACCCTGACTTGGTTAGGTTAGCCTTAGTCCTCAAAATAACCTTCTTGCTTTTTAACACTTTAAAGAGATCTTGTACAGCAGATTTACCAAATGCAATGCTTTGCTTGATCTCTTGACTGGTGTTTCCATGAGCATTGATTGTGTGTCCAAGCAAGACAAAATCCTTGACAACATCAATCTTTTCTCCATATATCATGTAATGGTAAGATAATCAAAACTAATATACAGTAAACTTTTTATAGTCTGAATAAGTTTATCAAGTTTGATAAATATAATATCACATATAAAACTAAACTGTTTTGATACTATTAAACTTTTGGTTTTCTTCAAAGGATATACTTTTCAGTACCCATTCTGCATATTATGGTGAGTTTTGGAAAGAGAGTAATCAAGTTTGTTTTCCAAAAGGATTTAATTCTAAATTTCCAAAATGTTTTCAGGTCATCATGTTCTTTGTTGTATCTATAAAAAAATTATGTCCTCAGATATTCTGGACTAGTATGAAGCACTAGATCTTGTAATTCTTAGAGGGAAACTTTCGATTATTATATTTTAGCTCCTACAACAAATCCCAAATGTATCAGCCAATGACCTTTGACACAAATATATCTGAATCCCAAGTCTCTCTTTTGTTCACATTGTAAAAAATAACACTTGGGAAATACGTCTCCTTTGGGACTATAATAGATGAGATTCTAACACAAACAGCTAAGTTCTCCCTACTTCATTTCAGAATATATATTCACTCACTCAGAAACATAACACACACACACACACACACACACACACACACACACACACGCACACGCACAAAATGGATGTGTCCTCCCCTCCATCTTTCTTCAATGATACCAAAACAGGTTATTTATCTCTACTGCAGGACCAGGAGCATTCCATAAATGTGACTATGACTCCATTCATGGAGAGCTTCTGAAGGGATGGGGTAGCTTTCAGGGTGAGTAGATTTCTGAATTGGGATTGGATTGATTGCTATACAAAGGAATGGGGGCAGGTTTTGATGCCTGAAGGGGTTGGAGAATAAATAAGAGAGTTAGCATATAGTAGTTTATTCTCTGAAATTTGAAAAGGTTCTCTGTATCTGATCATAAGGCTAATGTTACTTGCTAGCTTTTCTTGCCTTCAGCACATAATGTTTTAATATTGGGTTACTAACAGAAAGGACAGTGTTTGGAATGTCTAAGCTGATCCCAGAGTGAAAGATGTGGCAGTGTTTCTGTAACGATTTACAGTCTAGGAAAACGTATGGATCAGCAATCCTATGGAGTCAGGGGGCCTCTGCCCTGTAAGGTTATTATGAGTTGGAATTAACAGAATGGTGGTGTGTTTATTTTGATGTCTCTGATCCATTTTCACTTTGAATAAAGTGCTCGTGTTTCAACTGCTACAATGTAATATTGTGGAAATATCCAAAAGAGGTGTAATCAGTTCGACTGACTCTGAAAACCAAAAACCGTATTTTTGAGAAAAATAAACTTCTGTGGTGAGAAAGAGAACAGAATGATGACTGTCTTTCCCACGATTTTCTCTGTTATTTGTCTACTATTTCAACTGATACAGCGTTTTGCATCACAATTATATTGGAATTTGCCTTCAATTTATATGACCCTAGAGTTATTCTATTTAGTTTTTCTCCTTAAAATAAATAAGTAAATAGACAGATAAAATTTTATTAAAGATATATTTAAAGAAAGGCAAAACAACTCTACCCAACCTCTCATTTAAAAGACACCTTTGAGGTGATTGGCAGCCTATCTCTCATGTGCCCAGGAAACACTAACAATTTCAAATTACATAATTTTGATTCAGAGTTTATTTGCTTTTCCCCTAATAGCTCCCCCTATAAGATCACACCCTTTGTCACATTAGTAATATATGTTTTCCTAAATCAGAACACACCAGCCCAACATAGGTTCATCTTTGGACTTGTGAGTCATTACTACCGTCCTCTGATCACCACTTTGTCCTAATGGCCTCACAACTTAGCATCACGCCAAATCTGTCTCCGTGCTTGGGAGTCTTTTCTCCTTCTTTGTTTCCCCACACCCTCTTCTTAAAATTTAATGTTAAAAATTAATTGAACATCTCTTATTTTGCTTGCACTGTTATGTAGCCTAAGAAATAAATGATTTTATGGCTATCTGAACTTTGATATGGTTGAAAAATACAGACCATGTTCTAAATAGAATACCAATCATTTTCATTTATGATGATAAACATTGTTCTTATTGGACTGCATATTTGATTGTATAACTTTAAGAAAACATCAGTGTCTCATGATTGATTGCATTTTCAGGAATTCTTTACCATCATTTTTTTTTTTGATGCTATGGATTTAAAGATCAAAGGAGAGCCTTTTCATGGGGTTATTGTTTTTGTTATTTCTAGCTGCTGTTCAATAAATTGGTCTTAAAAGCTTACTACTATAGATGTTCTTCGCTCATTATGCTAAGCTATTGTTTGGTTGCTATTTTTCAGTAAAATGCTTATTGTTGTTATTAGATCCTGCTGAGTGAAGTTAGACTCAGAGCAACTTCATAAAACAAAGCTGATCCAACCCACAGTCCCTCAGCCCCCCACCAAGTCTGCAAGTCAACAGGCCTCTCACCTCTGGAGTGACTGCTGGGCTCACAGAGTTCACCACTCAGCCGACAATAGAACACTCAACCTTTGTGAAGCCAGGGCTCCTTAATAAAGTACTCGCCTAATAAAAAATGAAACATAACCTAATGCCATCAGGTCACACCTGCCTCTACTGCGGATGCTCAAGCTATAGAGTGAGACAACCAAGAGATGACAGTTTGCTAATACTGAGAAGGGGTCCTTTCTTCACATTTAGGATCATGTTATAATTCTGCTTTGAAAATCTACTGGCACAAACTAATAAATAATTTCTCCACTGAAGAAAATTCTGCATGCTTTAAGGTGGGCATTTGGCCTAAAATTAGATTGGAATCATCATCAATCATTACATCAATAGGGCAAGATTAATTAACAATGGTTGGTGTACACTGAAGATTTTTAACATTTCAGAATGGGACAGATATCTCTGCCTATGATGGTGAGCTCCTAAAACACATTGACTATTTAATCAACACATATTCAGTTAGTGGCCATAACTTAAGCCTGGGGAACGAGCTACATAATAAAAGAAGCTTAAAATCAGCTAAATTCTGTCAATTCATCTTGTGAAAATATATTTAAGCATGAAGTTAATAGAGTTTATACCAAATAGTCAACATAAGAGAACATACACAATTATTCATCTTTGAGAAATTTAAAGTAGGCAATATGGGAACAAATTATGCTTGTCAGCTACTCTAAATATTTTGTAATTTTTGTTTTGTTTTTTGCTTTTGTTTTTGCTTACAGAGAACATTCTGGAACTTTTGTACGATGAGCTTCAAGCAAACATTTCTAAGCAACAGCAGCCTAACCCCAGCTTCTTTCTTCCTAAATGGCATTCCTGGGCTGGAGGACGTGCATCTGTGGATATCCTTACCCTTGTGTACCATGTACAGTATTGCCATTACAGGGAACTTTGGCCTTATGCACCTCATTTACTCTGAAGAAAGCTTACACAGACCTATGTACATATTCTTAGCCCTTCTGTCCTTTACCGATGTGCTCATGTGCACCAGCACCCTACCTAATACCCTCTGCATATTGTGGTTCAACCTCAAGGAGATTGGCTTTAATGCCTGCTTATCCCAGATGTTCTTTGTCCACACCTTTACTGGGATGGAGTCTGGGGTGCTCATGCTCATGGCCCTGGACCGATATGTTGCCATCTGCTATCCCCTGCGCTATGCTACGATCCTCACTAATTCAGTCATTGCGAAGGCCGGGCTCCTCACCTTTCTGAGAGGTGTGCTACTCGTTATCCCCTTCACTTTCCTCACAAAGCGCCTACCATACTGCAGGGGCAACGTTATACCCCACACCTACTGTGACCACATGTCTGTCGCCAAGATATCCTGTGGCAATGTCAAGATCAATGCTATCTATGGTCTGATGGTTGCCCTTCTGATAGGAGGTTTTGATATCTTGTGCATCACAGTCTCCTATACCATGATTCTTCGAGCAGTTATAAGTCTGTCATCAGCAGACGCTCGACAGAAGGCCTTCAGCACCTGCACTGCCCACATTTGTGCTATCGTCATCACGTATGTCCCAGCCTTCTTCACCTTCTTTACACACCGCTTTGGGGGACACACCATTCCACCCCATGCACACATTATCATGGCTAATCTCTATCTACTCATGCCTCCCACAATGAACCCTATTGTGTATGGAGTGAAAACCAAGCAGATACGGGAATGCGTCCTTAGGTTCCTGTTTAGGGGAAAAGACATTTCTTCACATGCCATTTAAATTGTCTTCTGAGAAGTTGAAGCTCTTTTAGCCAGGCTAACATGGTCAAGTCAATAGGGGACAAGTAAGGAAGCTGTACTTAGTCACATGAAACATTCTCAGGTGACTCAGATATTTAACCCTCTTTTGAGTGGATATCACCGTAGCCATGTAGGCCAAGGGTCACTCTTCAGAGATCTTGTCCAAGACTCTTTATTGGTAGGGGACTTCAAAGATTATTATAATTAATTATTTAAGATAGATATATTTATCATGAACAATAATCTATATGAGTTTGCAATACAGTGGCTGGAGCAGAGTTGAACTACAAAACAACCACAACAACAGTATCTCCAGTAGAACACAAACCATTTTCCTTTTGCATGTGTTAATTTATTCCTCCCCCCAAATCTCCTGTCAAAACAATTGTTAGTTCATTCTTATTCCTCCTTTCTATACCAGTCTCACCAACTATATACCCAGTAGCATGTGGTTGGTATGTGCCACCAAGTCCATTCCAACTCATGGCAATCCTACAAACAACAGAATGAAACACCTTCCAGTCCGGTACTAACCCCACGCGATTGTTATGACTGAGCCCATTATTGCAGGCACTGCATCAATCCATCCCCTAGATGTTTCCCCTTTTTTTTATTGACCTTTTGCTTTACCAAGCATGATACATTTTCCAGAGAACGGTCTGTCCTGGTAACATGTCCAAAGTATGTGAGATTAAGTCTCATCATCCTCAGATCTGAGGAGCATTCTGGCTATCTAAGACAGATTTGAGTCTTCTTCTGGTAGCCCAGGCACTTTCAGTGTTCTTTGCCACTACCATAATTCGAGTACATCAATTCCTTTTCAGTCCTACTTACCCTGCCTTTCACATGCGTAGGAGGCATTTGAAAATGCCATGGCTTGAGTCAGGCGCTCTGTGGTTCTCAAAGTGACATCTTTGCTGTGCAGCACTTTTAAGAGGTCTTGTACAGAAGATTTGACCAAGGAATTACATTGCTTGGTTTCTTGAATGCTGCTTCAATAAACATTGATTGTGGATCCAAGCAACATGAAATCCATGACAACTTCAAACTTTCTCCATTTATCGATGTTATCTTGTGGTCCAGTTAGGAGGAGTTGGGTTTTTCTTACATTGAATTGCAATTCATACTGAAAACTATAATCTTTGATCTTTACCAGCAAGTGCTTCAAGTCCTCCTCCTTTTCAGCAAGGAAGATCGTGCCATTTGCTATATCAGGTTGTTAGTAAGACATTCTCCAATCTTGTTGCCATAATCTTTTTAATATATGTCCAGTTTTTTATTTCTTCTTAGCATACAGATTGAATGAGTATTGTGAATAGATACAAGCTAGACACACATCATTTCTGATTTTAACACACTATATTCCCATGTTCTCTACCCAAGCTAATAATCAACTTATTTTGAAAACATTAGAAATATTTTAGATATGAAAAAATAAAGAAAACAGAATTGTACCATAACTTTTCTTAGTAAGTTTTTTGAAGCTGTACTCAGAAGAGATGAGGAAATTGACCCGAACATGGGGTGATTCAAAAACTATTGGCATCAGTCTAGAGCAGCAAAGAAAGAATCCCCATCATTCTGAAGATGATCTGAGAGGGCAACACGCCTGATCAGAGAAGGTCCAATAAAGGAAAAAGGATTTCATGTTAGAACCACCACCTGAATGGTAATTTGTTCTACTCCAGTGGTTGGCATGTTGATATGATGTTAGAAGCTATACAGCAGGTTATTTCAAACAACCACTCGTGGTGGACAGATTTTAGTAGTCTCCCCAGACCAATAATAGACAAGAGAGTTAGACCTAGTAATTTTTTCTCTCCGAAATTAGCCAGTAAAGAAACACGTGGATCAGAACAGAATAATGTCCAGTATAGTGTGGAATGATTAACCTGCTAAGGTGGACGTCACTTAAACTATTCCGCGACCCCAACAATGGACTGAAGCTCATGGATGATCGTGAGGATGGGGCAGTATCTGGCCGTGTTTGGTTCTCTGCTGAATGTCCCCACAAGTTGGAGACAACAGGACAACCAACAAGAACTTCTTTACAATCATTTAGGGTATTTTAAAATAACACAAAAGTAATGGAAGCTAAGCAATGCTCCTGCTGTTGGGCTGCTAAGCACCATGTTAGCAATTCAAAGCCACCTTTTGTTTCTCAGGAGAAAGATGAGGCTTTTTACTCTCATAAAGAGTCATCGTCCTGTCCCATGGAGTCAGAATTGACTCAATGGCAGAGATTTTGATTTTTTTGTTGTTGGTTGAAAGGCTGAAGCAGGCCAGGTACTCACAGGAAACTTGAAAGAAGTAAGATATACAGTTGTATTAACTAAGGGCTTGGAACAGATGATTCTGGTGCAACCTTTCAAGAGGAAAAGTAGGGAGTATAAAACATTCAAAAGTAGCTTATTTTTTATGCAACTCTTCCACATCTATCGATTTTCTTATTAAACTGGTCATGAAGATATTGACATTTATTATAATGTTATTTTAAGATAAAAATTAGAATACATTCTAGGTCCTAAATTAGAGGACTAAATGTTGAAAGGAAATGTTATTTCCATACAGTAAAATATTATCCTAAATTTTGAACTCATGGAAGTTCTCAATAAAGTATTTATGATATAGTTTAATCTAATCAAATAATTATGAAACCGTTTATGAGTTGTTAACCTGATTTTTAAAATGAATTAGAATAAAAACAACAAACTTTTGGTGGGTATTTCTGAGTGTAAGGAGTGCATGCTATTTTAATCAAAGGACAGTCATGATTTCAGAAGTTAGAATAATAATCAACTAGAAACCTTTCAAACTTCCACACACGTATACAACTTTGCTTTATTTTTCATTGCCTTAGAACAAATTTCTAACTTCCAGTCCAAATAGCAATTGGTACAGGGATTCCTTTCTGGATTACCAATGTGGAGGCCAACTATGGGTGGGAGCAGTTCCCCCCTGCCCCCTTAAAATATATGAAACTTGGCATCCTGCCTTCTCTAGGGCCCTATTGTCTCTGGGGCTCCTAAGCCCATTTTGCACTGAGCAAGCTCAAGGCTCCTGAGGATTTCAGAAACCATCCCTGTTTCCTGAGGGAAGCCATATGAACTAAGCACTTCTGCACCAAGTCTATAAGGGGAAACCAGCTGCATCTGGCACTGCATGCATTCTGGGCACTCACTCTGGCATGACCACTCTGCACATTCTTCCTTGTTTGGAGCTCCTTTGTGGGTAAGGGGCATTTCTGCCGTCCTGATGTTTATTATGTGACAAAATCTAGAAGTGTTCCATTGTGCCTGTGTTATCACAAAGGCCAGAAGAGCTGCTCAACAGAGACTCACCAGTTTTAGATATCACGCGCATATTTCTCTGTATATGAAAATTTAAGAAATTCATGATCTTTCCACATAATTATCAAAACTAGGACTGGCAACAGATACATGTTCTTGTGTAGAACGTTGTCCATTAGATGCACTCAAAATTTGCTTCAGACTATAAGCAACTCTTATCTTCATATTTATTCATTGTGTTTCACATACAGGGTACAGTGTCAGAGACAGATAAATTGATAAGGGATAATAAAAATTCTGACCATCCCTAAATCAAGGATAAATTGACAGGTCTACCTTCTTAGCTCCAAAGTCAAAATTCCATCTCTCCCTATATCCTTTTACTTCTTTAATCCATTCAAAGGACTTTCACTCAGTCGATCCAATTGTAACTTATTAACAATGTTTTTTGGGTTTCTTTGTTTTTCATTCATGGGCTGTCCTCATTCATGTGGAATGCCTCCTGCACGGGATAAAATAGGGGGATTTGATCCATACACTAAAGCAATTAAGTTAATAAAGAGATAGGATAGATGTACAAATAGTTATGGCATATGTCATAGACTAAATTAAATACAATTCTATTAGGCATCAACAGTGTACCAAGCAATGTACACTTTAGCACTTAGCAGAAACCATGCTATGGCTCCCCCAGAATTTTAAGATTTCCCTGAAGCAGAAATAACCTGCTTGCATATAAACTCAAATGTTTACCCACAAACCTAAGGTAAAAACAACAAAAACAATAGCATTAGTACTATTATTCATACTTATACTTACCAGATATGATTTCAATTTATTTATGAATTTAATCATGTTCTTATAGTGAGTCTACAAGTTCAATATTACCATAAGCATATATCTAGCCAAAACTCAGTATAGTATATTCAAGAGTTTATCCCAAAGTACACATTACATGTGGAAGCATGTGTTCATCTCTCTAAAACAAAACCAAGTTCTCTATTAGAACATCACTTTTCTCTTTCTATGGCAATTTCATACTTCCTCCCTTTTTCATCATTTTATAATTATCACAATCTTTGTATACTTTGGAACAAACTGTTGAATCCACTGAGCCTTTGTTAGATATATAGCTAATAGTAACATTGAATTAGTAGACTCATAAGAACATGATAAAAATTCATAAATAAATTAAAATAGTATTTGGTAAGTATAAGCAATCAAATCGTACTACTGCTGTTGCTCTTGTTTTTACCTTAAGTTTGTGGGTAAACATTTGGGTTTTTATGCAATTAGATGATTTATGCTCAGGTAAATCTAAAAGATCTAGGGTAAAGACAATAAAGGGTTTCTGCTAACTATCAAGTATACATTGCCTGGCACATTGCAGATGCTTAATAGAATTTTGCTTAGCTTAGAGTCTACACACTTCAGATGTTCAGTCTCAGAGTAGCACTTCATATCTTTAAAGGGCTGATATTTCTGGGAAAAGATGAAGATGAAACGGTAATAAAGAATCTAGAATCTTCTGTATGCGATAACTCTTTCCTGATTTTCTTCTTCAGGGGATTCGGGAAAGTTTTATTCAGATAGTTGATAGGGTTTTAGTTTGTGGTTCAGTTCTTGGCTTTCTCTAAAATAAAGGTCTTCTATGCCATCACTAGAGAAGTACGTCATGAAACAAGTTTAAAAGGAAGATTTCTGTGCATTCTCATTCTTAAGCAGAGCCTGATTCATCCTAATGGAGACTAGGACCAACCAGTAATCCAAAGTGACCCCTTTTCTGTTTTAAACAGCCAGAGGCAACCATGGGTGGGACACACCCTGTGGGTCAAGTGGCTGCCCAGCGTGGGATGAGGAAGCTGCAGATGAAACCGCAGTGATCACATCAACCATCAACTTCAGGTCCTGGACACTTAGACACCCGGGTCAGGTAATTAAACCTAATAACATGGGGTGGGGGAGAGTAATTGTGATTGACTTGTTGTGGTGATGCAGCATATCTTGATGTCTTTTGCCTTTTTTAATTACAGCGTGTTTCTTGTTTCATTGAAAAAGGCTCAATGTAAGATCCTCAGTCAAATGGACTTCTTTGCTTGTAGTTTATTGACAATTTACTTTCATCACATTCTTAGATTCTGCATCCATTTTTTTTTAACTTCTCCAGTCACAGGCAAAAAGGGGTAAGTGTGAATGGTACTTGTAATCATATCCTCAACTTTTTATAGAGTAGCTAGGCTTGATTCATCCTAAACACTCCCGTTGCTCTTCCCTGGAAGGAGAATCCGTGACTGGAAGGCTGGGCAGCGGATGAACTATCGGTAGGAGCTGGGGAGGCCTCCAGTTAAAACAGGTAACCTCGTTTGCTGCCAGAGAACACTTACGACCAAGCAAGGAAAGAAAGAAACATACATGTAAATAAACTAGCATAAAGGGATGCACTGCTTTATAGCCCAAAATTTCTGCACTAGTTTTTTTAAACAGTTTCAATGATACATAACTTAACCAAAATAGAATTAAATTGCTTAAATATATTAAAAGTAGTTGTGCAATCATCACCGTGATAAATTATGGAAGAGTTTTTAAATTCTTGTATCCATTATTTTTAATTCCCCAACTTCCCTTGCTAAAATACTAAGAAACTATTGATCTAGTTATTGTCTCTACTGATTTACCTATCTTGGATTTCATTTTTTTTTTAATTACAAAAAATAAAAACAAAATCAAACAAAATTCTCAATTAAAAAAAAGCAGAAAACAATAAAACCTAGAATAAGTAAAAAATGAGTCAAAAGGGAGAGTGTTAAATTTTAACACAACTATATCTTCAGTAATCTACTTTCAAATGTACTATTTGTGAGGACAAAATTATTCATATCCCTGTGAATGTACCTAGGAAGTTCAGTAGAGGTTTAATCCACATGGGGCTGTGCAAATAGGTTTTAGGCTTTAACTGTCATCCATAGCCTTCTGCAAACCAAAAGCTCAGAATTTAAGCTCTAATACAATTCCCTCCTTTGATCTTGCAATTTATTATTTATAATCAGTTGGATCATAAAGGCTAGTTTTTCCTTCCGTACAAACAGGCTCACTTAGATGACTGATTATTTTAAAAAAAGAAGAAGAAGAAGAAAAAGCCTTTACTACCTCAGTCACGGTGCTTTCTGATAGCGAGGCACCATGTGATATCTTCACCACTTTGCTATTACACCTATATATTACACCTATATATTCAGCTATTAGGCCTACATATTCATGAGGGCAGGTACTGAGCAGGGCCATATATTTAAAACTATGTTTTCTTAGATTAATTGTGAGCTCAAAATCCATTAATATATATCAGGTTTATATATATCCCTGGTTCACTTTAGGGACAGTATTATCATTCTTGAGAAATAATAGAGATTACCTCCATGGGACATTTGGTAGTTCTAATAATAATATCATTAATCTAGCCAATGGCATATAATGCACTAGTTACTTTTATTAAGGATATTATATAAGGTCTAAATCTAGGAAAACCTGTGTTTGCCTCTAAATTAATCACTAATATCTTTTGGGAAGTTGATTCAACACCCTGTACCTGGGCCAGGAAAACTCACTGTGGATTCCGGTATGTATAGCTCTTATAAGTTCCATCTTACCTTAAAGTTTGAAGAGGAATAGAAATGTATCTATTATCACAAAGAGATCTGCAAATAAGGCGGGGAAACTAAGCAAGAGCAACCTAGGCTTGATAAAAGGGAAATCACATGCACTATATGAAACTATTGTAATAATTAGATTTCAGGTAGTCCAAAAAGTTTTAAACTTAAAATCATAAGATGTAGTGACCATACAATTTATCCTCAAACAAGGATACTTTTGAATGTCTACACAAATGGAAAAATATAAAATGAGAGGCTAAAAATAATATCTACATTTTACTTTCTTGAATATTATACCAAGAAATTTGAACCCTATCCTTAATAGAAGGAGAAGATATTGAAGACTGGTAAGGAGTGGATTTGAAATGTCTTCAAAATGATGCTGTAGGCAAATCAGATCTGAAAAATTCAAGAGGCAAATCAATAGGTGGATGAAGGTTGGTAGAAAGGAAGGATTGATATTTGGAATATTTCTGGATTAAACATAGTAGTACAAGTTCTGGTTCCCTGAGGATACTCTAAAGATAATAGACAGGCTGAGGTGGTCTGGATGGAGCATTATAGCCAAGAAATTTTGAGCCATAAAAAAATTATATTCAAGATAAAGTGGAGAAATGCCATGAAAATTAGAAAATGTAAGTTCTGATAATGTGCTAGATGATGACACCATTCTCAAAGCATAAAACTCAGAGAAGAAGAAGATAGAGATTGAAATTATGAGTTAAGTTTTAGGCATAGTAAATTTAAAGTTTCCATGGAAATTTATAATAGAAATATCCAGCAAGCAGTTAGGAGGAGAGTGACTCATCAATTATGACTTAATGTTCCAAAATTACCATTAATTAATTATACTTGAGGTCATAAAAGTGGGGATATTTCTCCAATAGTAAGCAAAAGTCTCAACAGCAAAGCTAATTTTACCAAGTCATAAAACTGATATGGAAGGAGCTGAAATTAAAAAATTTGGTTCTATTTCCCAGAAATACCCATGATCTTTTTACTTCCTATTGTTGAAAATATTACATTAACACATCTCTGACAATTTTCCACTTTTAATTATAATTTTCTATATCAAGACATGTGCTGTCTTCATTCAAGCTGGACAGTGAAAGATGCTGCATTAGTGATATGTGAAGGTTACTTCTAGCCCTGCACTAGGTGTGCGACATGTGACATTTACTCAATCTCTCTGTGTCAGTCTTTTCTGGCAGACGGCAGAAAACAATAATAAGTTTATAATAGAGCTTTAAAATTACATTTAAACTTTAAAAGTTTACAAAGAAAACCTGAAATTTATAATGATTCATTCATTTGTCTATTTTTATTACTACATTGTTATTTGAAATTATATCATTATGAATGCAATTTTCTTCTAAATTTAAGTCTGGATTCACAAGAGAGCTCTGACTCCATTTCTGTGTCTTAATTCCCCCCACTCATTGTAGAAACTTCTGGGAAAACAGCTCCTCTATTGACTGAATTATGTTGATGTCTAACAATTCATATGTGGCACCAGAATATTTTATTCTTAATGGCATTCCTGGTCTGGAAAGTGTGCACGTATGGATCTCCCTTCCTCTCTGTGCAATGTACACCATCTCCCTCGTGGGGAACCTTGGCCTTGTGTACCTCATTCGAGCTGAGGAATCCTTGCATCGTCCAATGTACTTCTTCCTGGCCATGCTCTCCCTCATCGACCTCTTCACCTGCACCACGACTCTACCCAATGCACTCTGCATCTTCTGGTTCAATCTCAAGGAAATTAACTTCAATGCCTGTTTAGTCCAGATGTTCTTTGTCCATGGGTTCACAGGGGTGGAGTCTGGTGTCCTCATGCTCATGGCTCTGGACCGCTATGTGGCCATTTGCTACCCATTGCGTTACTCAACGATCCTCACGAATCCTGTCATTGCCAAAGCTGGCCTTGCAACCTTCCTAAGAGGTGTGATGCTGATGATTCCTTTCCCATTCTTGGTCAAACGCTTGCCCTTCTGCCAAAGTAATATTATCTCCCATACGTATTGTGACCACATGTCGGTGGTAAAGCTATCCTGTGCCAGCATCAAAATCAATGTCATCTATGGTTTGATGGTTGCTCTCTTGATTGGAGTGTTTGACATCTGTTGTATCTCTGTGTCTTACACGATGATCCTCCGGGCAGTGATCAGCCTCTCGTCAGCAGATGCTCGTCAGAAGGCCTTCAGCACCTGCACTGCTCATATTTCTGCCATCATCATCACCTATGTTCCAGCGTTCTTCACTTTCTTTACACATCGTTTTGGGGGACACACCATTCCCCCTTCTCTTCACATCATTGTGGCTAATCTATATCTGCTTCTTCCCCCCACACTGAACCCCATTGTTTATGGAGTTAAGACAAAACAGATTCGAGACAGTGTCATAAAACTCTTCCACGGTGAAAAATATGCAAGCTGATCCACGACAATGGGGATTAGATAGAAGGAAAACAAAGAAAGTGGTTGTTCATTAAAGTGCATTTGTCGTATATTTCCCATGATCTATCGCAGAGGTTTTTTTTCCCAGCAAATGTAGTAGATAAATTTATAGGTAATTCTGAATTTATACTTAGCCTTCATTTTTGTCTTCACATTTTAAAAACAAAGTTATTGATAAGGGCTTGCTCCTACTTTTCACTTACAAAAAGGTAAGTTAAAAAATATTGCTACAAAATCACAAAAATGTCTATTAAGCAAAAATATCCAAACAGGGAGCTCTTTTCCTGAAACACCACCCATTTGGGTCTGAAGGCAGGATTTCCTGTCACTAGCTCTTCCCTGCAAGAGTTTGTGCTCTTCAAGTTACGTCACCTCAAAACACTATTTTGTCAAACCAATTTGACATCCTTGAGGGATTGAAATTATGCTTCTTTGATATGTTCTTTGAATTTTGGAAACATATAATGGGCAAGACAATGGCTATAGGGTGGACAGGGTAAAGTTTGCTAATGAAATTTTCCTAGGTCAGCCATGGTTATTCTCGAAGAACGAAGAGGTGAGTTGTCAGGATGGAAAATAAAATTCATCATTGAAACTTTCCTGGCCTTTTCCTCACCAATGCATTTTTCCATTTTCTTTAAACTTTGTCATAATAAGACCCCAAGTCACCTTTTATCCTTCAGTAAAATCTACCAACATGACCCCTTTGGAGACCAAAAGAACAACAAAATGGTGACCTTAACCTTCTGAGCTGACTGCTCTGTCTTCAACTGACCTACCAGATTCCCTCTGAACCCACTGTTTAGATTGGAACCCACTTCACCAAAGGGGCCCTGGTGGCATCGTGGGTTATGAGCAGAATTGTTCACCACAAGGTTACCATGTTGAACTCCCCAGTCCCCGTGTGTGAGAAAGAGGTGGTTGTCAGCTCCTGAAAAGATTTAGTCTCACAAACTCAAAGAGGCAGTTGTCCTCTGTCCTATGAAGTCGCTGAATCAGAACCAACACCATGGTGGTGAATTGTTGTATTGTTAATCAGACTAAGACAAGTGTATTCCTGAGGGAAATTATGTGTAGCCACCCAATGATCACAGGTTCATGTTTAAGCACATTTTGTTTGGAATGAACCTGTACATGTGTGAGCTGGAACTATAGTAGCAGTACACTTTGACTTAACCTCATACATGTGTATAAGATATGTTCTGAACTATTCAGAGTGTCTGTAAGTGTCTTGTCTATGTTCTTCTTTTTAAAAAAATAATTTTATTGGGGGCTTGTACAACTATTATCACAATCCATACATCCATCCATTGTGTCAAGCACACTTATACATATGTTGCCATCATCATTCTCAAAACATTTGCTTTCTACTTGAACCCTTGGTATCAGCTCCTCATTTATTCCCTCCCTCCCTGCTGCCCCCTCCCCCATGAACCCTTGATAATTTATAAAATATTATTATGTTGTCATATCTTACACCATCCGACATCTCCCTTTATCCACTTCTTTGCTGTCTATGTTCTTAATCATCTATACAGGTGGTAAATGACAGTTTCTAGCTTAGGGAGTCCATCCATCTAAATTTCTCTTACAGATTGTTTTATAAATTAATCTTTGTCTGTGTATTCAATTCCAAGGTATTCAGTGTTATCCCAACTCTGTCTTTGACACAGAAGCCGTACTTGCCCCAAGACTTTTAATATGGTGCTATTTGAATGCCCACTCATTGATGAACTAATTGGATCATTAGTTCATTTATGCTTAATTTATTCATTACTTTATAATTTCTATCTGTAAAACTATTTCTATCAGCCCAACTGAAGCTTTCATCAGAACTGATCACTCCCTTCGTCTTACTTACTACATACACTGTATTATCATAATATACATACTACTGCATTTATTTCATGTTTTTTAAAGTTTTTTTTTTAATTTAGTACTAGAACATGTTGTCTTTGAAAACCCTAGATGTATATTTATCTTTGCATTTCCAGGTCCAACATCATATAAGGGACAAGGTGTGACTAAACAAATACATATTAAGTGGCTAAATGAATAAGTCTATACCCATTAGGCTCTTTGTTGTGAAGGCGTGCTGGTGGCACTGTGTGCGGCTAACTGCAGATTCAGCAGCTAAACCCACTAGTCCCTTCATGAGAGAACGATGAGATGGCCTCCTCCTATAAAGGTTTATAGTCTCGGAAACCATCTGTAAGGTTACTCTGCGTCAAAATCTGTCTAATAGCAGTGGGATTTTAGTGTGTTTGTGGTTATTGGCCATGGAGTTGGTTTTACCTCATGGAGACCTGATGGTGGAAGAAATCCATGCAGGCCAGGCCGCCATAATCTTTGGTAAATGTGAACCCTTTGTGGAACCTATTATGTTCATCCATGGTTTTCCTGGTTTTCGCTTTTCCTCGACTTTACCAAATATGTTTTTTTTCTAGCAGTTTCTTTTGCCTGATGATGTATTCAAACCAAGTAAACTCCATATTTATACCTTACATCACCAGGAATCAGAACTCGCCGTGCCTTTACCTACGGTAACATACCTGCTTTCTAGTTTGTTAAGGATTATGTCAACCTGACTTGAAGAAAAACAGCAGGTTTCGGGAGGGGTTCGTACCAGAAATCCAGGCCAGTTGGGTCCAGAACCCTTTAGTTTTATGTACACACTTATATAGAGAGAGATAAAGAGACAAAAGGCTGGGCTTAGAGAGAGGATCGTGTACCTACAATTGAACACTCTTTGAGTCAGACTTTGTGGTTTAAAGCACTCTATCTCTGTCAGTTTAGGACAATGTTGATCTTTCCTACATGACGTGATTGGGTTATTTTCTAGGTTGGTTTTTTTTTTTTTTCAAAAGTAAAATCTTATATCTATAAATCCATACATTGAAATTCCATTGGGATCATATGATTTTTACACTTATTGAAGTAATTAGAAAAATAAATGTAAAGCATTAAGTAAAATAAGAGAATAAACTACTGGCTCAGAAAAAAATTTTAGTATAGACTCACAATAGATGTTTATGAAACTGCAGGATGAAGAGTTTGAATAACCAGAGAAAATACTGGCTGGGGAGGCTAGTGTACAAGGGATAGGAGAAACATGAATACTTTTACAAACTAATTTTCCTATACTTGGATAGGTGGACCTAAGTCCAACTGAACATTTTAATTTGCCAAAAGCACAGTGTTCTCTTTTCTGAAATTCTCTGAGTAATATTTTGTATATACAGCCCGCCACACAGACCTCCTGTGTTTGGTCCAGTGCAGAGCTCTTCGTTCTTTCCAAGGAGTGATAAAACAAGACGACGCGGTTCTCTGAGCATTCTCTTCTTCTTCTTCTTCCCTGGAGTGTTCCCTTTAAATGTCTTTCTTAATCTCCTAACTGCCTCTCTCACTCTCATTTTCCTTTGCCTTTTTATATGTTTCATTTGTTTGACTTTCAGAGAAATATTAGTTAATGATATCATTTAATCAAAGTGATATATTTTATCTTAGTCTAAATTTTTCGTTTTCAGATTATACTCATATAACTTACTCATTTGGTCAACTTTGTGTGTATAATAGAAGATACTCGTTAGAATAGATTTAATTACACTTCTTCCATAGTATCTTTTAGAATTTTTTACTGTATCTTCAAAACAAAAACAATCTAAATTCTATTCTGACTCACTTTAGGTCTTTATGGGAGAATATAGTCTCACCTTTCCTCAACAAGAGACACTAGTGGGTCTGAACCCTTGTAGGTAGCAGTCCATTGCTTCCCCAACAGTGCAACCAGAACTCCTAGTTTGAACAGCAATAAATGAACCAGGCTTAACATTGTATTTAATAATTTAAGAGGAAAAGAACTTAGATTTCATCAAGTATATTCAACTTATATCTATACAAGTAAGTCAGAAAGAACAGTTGTTGCACTGTACTTACTTAATCTTAGACATTTTATTATAAACAATATGATTTTTTTGTTTTGTTTTGGGACAATTTCTACAGCCTTGTTTTTGCCTAATGCTTTTAGTGCAGTTTGGATTTCTTCGTTTAATATCATTGGTTCTCACTCATATGCTACCTCTTGAAATGGTTTACGATTAGCTAGTTCTTTTTGGTAGATTGACTGTGTATTCTTTCAATTTTCTTTTGATGCTTCTTGTATCATTCAGTCTTTTGACCATAGAGTCTTGTAGTATTGTGACTTGAGGCCAGTATTTTCGTCAATCCTTTCAGTCCAAGATATCATAAGTTGTTCTTCTTTTTGGTTTTCTAACTCTATTTGGCTTTCTCTGCATATTTCATAATAATATTTAATCTTCTCAAGCTGTCCTTTGAGCTTATCTGTTCAGCTTTGGCTTCATCTTTCTTCTACTTCCCTTAGCTACTTTTTGAGAGCAAGTGTCAGAGTCTCTTCTCACACTCACTTTATTGTTTCTTCCAGTCTTAATTTACTTTTGCTTCCTTCACACATGCTGCTCTTGATAGCATCTCATCAGGTCTTCTATTGATGGTGTTTAGTGAAGTAAATCTGTTTTTGAAGTTTTCTAGAGATTCAGCTGGGATAGACTCTCGTGGACTTGTTCTAATTGTCATTATCTTCAGCCTGAACATACGTATGAGCCATTGGTGGTCTGTTTCACAGTTGGCCACTGGTGTGGTTCCAGCTGCTGATATTGAGTTTCTCTATTGTCTCTTTGCACACATGTAGTTGATTTGATTTCTATGTATTCCTTCTGGAGAAGTCCATATGTATAGTTGGATTGTATTTTTGTATTGTTGAAAAAGCTATTTGTGATGAAGAAGTCATTGGTCTTGCAAAATTCTGTCATGCAATATCAAGCTTTGTTTCTATCAGCAAAACCATATTGCCAACTACTGTCCCTTCTTCTTTGTTTCCAACTTTCACATTCTTATCACCAATGATTATTACTGCATCTTGATTGCCTGTTTGATCACTTTCAGATGGAAGACATTGGTAGA